TTTTTTCCAAGTCTTTCCATTTCCTAACAAATGGGGCAATGTCATTCTTTCTGATGGAGGCATAGAATTCCATTGTGTATAAACACCACATTTTCTTGATCCATTCATCTACTGAGGGGCATCTGGGTTGGGAGCTACATCCCAGCCCATCTGCCACCTCTTCTTTAACTTCAGGACTGCACCTACCCCAAAAGAGTAATTATGTAACTTTTCATATTGTCATGTGGATACTTCATCTTGTAGAGGGGTAAGTTAAAACTTAATGGCAGACACAGAAAAGTGATAATTTTTAGTGAAAACAACCTTCTTGTTTTAGTATAACTTTGAAATGAATGAGGAGATATTATGCTATGTTAAAACCATCTTTGATCTTTATTAACTGCTTGACTAGAAATTCTTTGAAGGCAAAGATCCTTTTGAACTCAGGGTCCCATTTTTACTGGCTAGGCACTGTATCACTTAAGCTATGCTTCAGAGCTTCTGGGCTTCCTTATGTTCTTTTCTGGATATGGTATCAAGGTTTCTACCCAGGCAAGCCTGGGCCTGCAAGCTTCCTATTGAGGCTCCCACAGATGCCCATCATGCCCTTCGTTTTGTTGTGATGGAGGTCTCAGGAATTTTTTGTCCCAGCTTGGCCGGAATTGCAATCCTGCCAATCTCTTCTTCCAGAGTAGCTGGTATGACGTGTGAGACATGAGCCTGGTACAAGGATTATTTGTCATTCATCTTTGTAGCAAGCACCTTCTATAGTGCTGGCCTCATACCAGATGCTCCATCCAAAATTTTTCATTGTAATTGAAATGAACCAGGGTAGATGTTAACAAAGCATGTGACAACCTATTTTATACTCAACCCAATAGTATGAGTATAATTTGGAAACAGAGAAGTTGAATAAGTAATTATATACTTGACTCTTCCATAGTACATAAAATTTTCCGTGTTTGCCACATGCAATTTACACAAATATGTGACTCATTTCAATTTTAATCCTACTTACAATTTACAACATGGCCAGGTATGTACAGAGACTTGTTCTGTCGTCTTAAACTCCATCTAGCTGTGTAATTTCTTGCCTGGACAAGAACTATTAAATTGCATCTATCACCTCCATTGTATTCCATAAAATATCTGGAGTAGATACCATCATTTTTGACAGTATCAGCACCTTTAAGTTTAAATGTAAGTTATCCAGTAAATACAAACGGCTACTGTTTCTCTCCTGGAACAGTAATGATATCAGCAGTTTTGGAGACAGCACAGTACATATGAACATTAGAATTAGACCATTCCAAACTTGGCTTAGCCACATGCTAATCTTTTGATATTGAAAACAGTCTAACGGTGATTATATGTATTCAACTGATATTAGCTGCTATTATTTTATAAAAGAAACGTATCAAAAAGAAAATATATCTAGTTGGGGAAATTATAGTTAAAACACTAACACTAAGAATACTGGAGGAGGATTGTATTCATCTATTCCATGAAAAAAAATTTTCTTGAGGTTGAAAGATAAATGTGTTTTATTTTACTTTGTCAGACTCAGTAAAACCTTTATAAACATTATAACTTTGAAATATGTAGTACTAGCATATATATCTTATGACTTCATCATAGAATCTTCTAGGAGATGTTTTAAGTGTAATTTGAGGAGGATGTTAGTTACTTTCACCATTGTCCAAGAGTTCTGATCCTACTTGCTGCCCATCTTTCAATACTAAAATGACTATTAGCATGATGTCCACTATAAATATTTCCTCTTCCCTGATATTTGCATGAACAGTTCCTGGGTTTATGTGTTGTGCTGTATTTTGACTCCTGTAAGCAGTTGCTATTGCTGGAAGTATGGAAGGATTTCTTGCTCCAGTGGTCATTGTGACTGATAGTAATTGAGGTTGGACTTGATAATTTAAAAATCTGTAAGTCCAAGTACCTGTCTGGAAAAAAAAGAAAAAACAAAACCTGCTTCAAAGCCTTGTTAATATTACTCTTTCCACCCTGTCCAGTGGTTCAGACCTGTAATCCTAGCTCCTGAGGAGACTGAGATGTGAGGATTGCAGTTTGAAGCCAGCCAGGTCAGGAAAATCTGTAATAAATTTTAATTTCCGATTAAATCAGAAAGAAATGGAGGATTGATACCATGGATCAAGTAGAACAGTGCCAGTCTTGAGCAAAAAAGAGCTCAGGGGCAGTGTCTCAGGATCAGCACCAAAACAAACAAAGTCTCTCCTTGGGATATAAACTAATTTAAAAATATCAAGAGCTTATATATATATATATATATATTCATACACATGTACATATAAATGTATATGTATGTATGCTTAAGTATACACATATGTGTACATATATGTGTTGTTGTATGCATGTAGCTTATATGTATATATATATGAGTGTGTGTAATTTTGAGGATGAAAATTGTTTTCATTTATACTAGATAATTGTCTTTTTCCAAACTACACCCCCAGCTCTAATAGAGATTTGAAAGCTGATTTTACAAACCAGTAAATAACATGAATGTGAATTATTACATATGCCATTCATTTTATAGCAGATGACCTGTTTTAATTTTAATATAGACAATAAACAAGACAAAATCACATTTATAAAGTAGGAATTAATAAAAACAAAGTGAAAATGAAAGAATAGAATTACCTCTGCAATGCCCGGTATTCGCAGATGGGAAGTTCGACTATTTTGCTTATGTTCTTTGAAATCTGAGGTATCATATTCTTTTCCTTTGGGATCTTGGAGAATAATTTGTGGTTTTTGCATTCTACAGGTAACAACAAACAATGTGTCATTTCCAGTGGTGCTGTCCACAGACACTGTGCCATTGGCCCATGTCTTCCCTGTGACATTCAAGGCTTTGCTTTCCAACTGTTACATCAGTAAAAGGAAACAGGTAAAACCAATTTGTTATTTATTTTGACAATACGTGAGCTTGAACTCAGGGACACAAACTTGTTAGACATGTGCCCTCACCCTGAACTACACCACCAGTGTTTGTTTGTTTGTTTTTGTTTGTTGGGATTGGGGGGCTTGAACTCTGGGTCTGGAGGCTGTCCCTGAGCTCTTTTCAAAGCTGATGCTCTACCACTTTGAAATACAGTGCCACTTTTGGTTTTCTGGTGGTTAATTGTCGATAAGACTCTCATGTAATTTCCTGCCCTGGCTTGATTTGAATTCTGATCCGCCTATCTCAGCCTCCTGAGGATGACAGGCATAATACATATATCTAATTGGCTTCTATTCCAAGTTTGGCACTTCCTATATGACTGCACAAACCATTTTGTTTCTTTCATTTCTAGGATAAGAGTAAAATTCCTTGCTCTTAAGTATATGCTAAAATTAAAATTGTTTTTATTGTACTGATAAATCTGGGACTTAAACGTAGATTATTATTTTAAGTCCCTGAGAATAGCTTTCTTTTTATTAGCTTAACTAGTCAAAAAATATTATGAGGTTGGCCTTTTAATTATTCAATAAAGGAGTGATTACTAATACTACTGCATAATTAAATCATAAAACGAAACAGATTGAATATTGACAGTTTGGATCAGTTTTACACAAATGATGAATACTGTCCAAATGACATGGGGAAATTATAATGGTCTGAGTATTTATATGTACAAAGGTGGAAATAGTTATCAAAATAAGAATATATGAGTAATAAAAGTTTACTCTTACCTGGATGTTCTGAATGAGGTTTTCATCTTCTGTTACATAGAGGTTAATTTAAATGACAATGCCTTCATATGCATTGTCAGGTAACTTTACCATTGAGCATTTTACCTCTGACAAGAGATGCAGAGCTAGGCATAGAATTCCCCTCAGACAGAACATCATTTCTGCCCAGGGTACAATTATATAGAAATGCAAGGAGAATATTTATATATCTGCCTATTAGTTTAGGAATTTGAATCAAGACCAAACTATGTGCATAAATTTGATATGGTAAAATACACTAAAATGTCTAGGTGAACTTCCTTATTCATTCTAAAGATGTAGTTATGAAGTAGCTGTAGGGATTATGCTAAACATCCTTAGCATACTCTGTGTAGATAGTCAAGCTCATAGTAGTAAGTGGTTCTGCTTGTTACTATCAAATGTGACCTCAGGATCTCCTAACAGAAAAGCTCTTCAGGGACAGGGAAAAAGTGGAAGTGAATTAAGGGCTTAATTTTATTTATATATTTTTAATTTAATTTTATTGTGAAGGTGATATATAAAGGGGTTAAAGCTAAGGTCAGTGGGAAAAGTTTTACCTTCTCTAAATAATATTTGTTTATTTCAGCTTTCAAATAACACTGAATGCTTAAGTTCTTTCATAACTTGGGAACTTAATATGCTTCAGATAAGTTCTCTTTCATTCCTTTAATTTTTTTTGACTGAACACAAATGGTCCTTAGCTTAACTTACTGTACAATGGCATTGTGAACTGGCTCTAAAGTTAGAAAAATAGAAACCCTATTCTTTCTTGCTTTGGTCACTTAATACTCACGGGATTTTTATATTTGTAATATTTATGCAGTTCATTTTTTAGGCTTTTACTTTTGTTGTGCAATTAGAATAATTTGTACTTATAGAAGCTCTAAATCTATGGATCAGATCTACAAGGTTTTCATACAAGCTCTTAATTAATATTATACCTTAGTAGTAAGCATTATATGTATACAATCAATACAAGCTTGTTATTCACTTTGATAATTAATATTTCTATTTTAATTATTTTGTTTTGTAATCAAGTAAATACAAACTCTCAATGTTTTATGGCAAGTCCCCGTGTATGCCTAAGACTAGATGTAGAACTGTCTGGCACACTGAAACCATAGGCTTTTTGGAATGCTCTTTCATTTTTTCTTGCTATGCCCTTGCAGCTCCAGCCTAAGAACAGCCTCATCTGTAAAAATGTACTAAGCCATCCACATGAAAAGCAATATATATTTCCTTTGAACTTGTTTGTGCCCAACATCTGCATTGCTCTTGTAATTGACTATTTTATTACTAGTACTTGGGGCATTGAACTCAGAGCCTTGTGCTGCTAGGTAAACTACTGCTTGAGTCATCCTCCCAGTCCTTTTTTTCTTTAGCTATCTTTCAGAGAGGGTCTTACAATGTCATTCCAGCCAGGCTTGGACTGCAGTCCTATGTCACTATCATTATGGGTGTGAGCCCCACATCCAGTCTTGCTTTTGTTATTATTAATATGCATAGTAGCTTGTTTCCTTTCTTGGAGGGAGAATTTTTTTCTGAGTTTAATCTTTCTCAATCTTAGATTCTTTAACTATAAAATGAGGAAATAAAAACTAGAAGGACTGTTGGGCAGATTAAATACAAGAACAAGGGGAAAATACTTGTAAATGCTGGTGCATATTAGACTCACATTGAATGCTTATTGAGGATGGAGAAAACTCAAACTGTGTAATTCCTTAGAAAGTCTAACTCACGGGGCTGGGAAAGTGGCTCAGTGGTAGTGTGCTTGCCTTGCATGCCTGAGGCCCTGGGTTCGATTCCTCAGCACCACATAAGCAAAAAGAAAAGAGGCGGAAGTGGCGCTGTGGCTCAAGTGGTAGAGCGCTAGCCTTGAGCCGAAGAGCTGAGGGACAGTGCCCAGGCCCAGAGTTCAGGCCCCACGACTGGATCCCCCCCCCAAAAAAAGAAAGTCTAACTCACAGTTCAAGCAGGAAACCTGTATTTGAAAGGGGTAAGATGGGATCAATGGAAGGGTGGGCAGATGAATGAAGAGAGGATGGGGAGAATACAGTCATAAGTGTCAAAACAAATCCTCCAAACTTGTGCAAAGTGAGAGAAGGTGGCCTGTTGAGAGGGCAGGGTGAGAACATTGAAAGGAGGCTGACAATGATCAATATGCATTGTGTCCATAAACTGCTTTGCTGAATGGAAACTCCTTTGTACAATTATTTAAAGATGGTAAAATGAATATTAAAATAGATGTTCAGTGCTTTTCCTTGTTTCATTTATATGAAAAAAATATGAATGCTCCATCCAATGCTCTACTCTTGAGCAAGTACACTATGATTACATATAACATTACTGATGGAGAAATTAAAATCACTTCTGTAGATTAGAATTGTAGAAAAAAAAAAGAAAAAAGACAACAACACAAGAAAGGGCTAAAACAATTCAATAGGAAAGTTATAAACTGAACACTAGAGAGCCAAAATTTGGGTAATAGTTTATGGTGAAGAGATTCAGGAAGGCTTTAGGAGAAGGCCATTCTTTAGGAGATTGTGGAATGGAGAGTTTATACTGTCCAAAGAGGAAGTTTTGGTATTGAAACTCAGGACATTCTGCTGGGGTAAGGTGGAATCTCAGTGTTGTTTGGATTTGCATTTCTTTTATGGCCAGGGATGTTGCTTATTTAATTTGTGGAAGGGAAAGGGAATCATAGAAACAGCAGGACAAAGGAAGAACTAATGCAACAATGTAGTCACTAGGCACTATGTTGGAGATGAACTTTCCAACTAGGAGGGTGGGATGGGAAGTGAGTAGTTATAAGCAGGGGAAAATAAGGGAGGGGGTAACAGTGTTTTAAAAAAAATGTACTCATTCAAAGCAGACACTCTGAAAACATTACAGGATGGAATAGGAGAAACCCTAGGCCTTCTTGGCACAGGCCGAAATTTTCTTAATAGAGACCCAGACACAACAAATCAAAGAAAGATTGGACAAATGTGATTGCCTGAAATAGCAGAGCTTCTGCATGGCAAAGGACATAGCTAGCCAGGTCAATAGAAAGCCCACGGATTGGGAGAAGATCTTCACTAGCCATACAACAGAAAAGGGTCTCATATCTCAAATATACCTAGAATTCAAAAAATTAAATCCCCCAACAACAAATCTTCAAAGAAACAACTGCCCAATAAATAAGTGGGCTAAAGACTTAAAGAGAAACTTCTCTGAACAGGAAAGAAGGATGGCCAATAGACACATGAAGAAATGCTCAACCTCCCTAGCCATAAAAAAAATGCAAATCAAAACAGCATTGAGATACCACCTCACTCCAGTTAGAATGGCAAAAATCAAGAACTCTAACAACAGCAGATGCTGGAGGGGATGTGGAGAGAAGGGGACCTTACTGCATTGTTGGTGGGAGTATAAACTTGTTCAACCACATTGGAAAGCAGTATGGAGGTTCCTCAAAAGATTCCACATAGAGCTCCCCTATGACCCAGCAATCCCACTTTTGGGCATTTACCCAAATGTTTACAAACAAGACCACACTAAAGATACCAGCACAACTTTGTTTATTGCAGCATTATTTACCATAGCTAAGATATGGAACCAACCCAGATGCCCCTCAGTAGATGAATGGATCAAGAAAATGTGGTATATATACACAATGGAATTCTATGCCTCCATCAGAAAGAATGACATTGCCCCATTTGTTAGGAAATGGAAAGACTTGGAAAAAATTATATTGAGTGAAGTAAGCCAGGCCCAAAGAAACATAGGTCCCATGGTTTCCCTTATTTGCAATATCTAGTATATGTCTGAGCCAAGCAGAAAAGATCAGATAAGGTGATGTTAGGGAAATGAACCCTAAGATATGTATTCAAATATTTTTTTCTTTCATGAGATTATTTCTAACACATTTATAAGATTATTTCTTTGTTGCTTTGTATGTTCCTCTCCACAGTATAAGCCCTGCTTTCACTTTATTTGATGTTGGTATAATTTGTGGAGGGGAAGGGGAAAAACAAATCATTTAAATAGGGATACAGGTGGATCCATTGCAACAATGAGATGTACAAGTCCTTATGTCAAAATTGAACTTTACATCTTTGGTGTGGGGGGGGAGGATTTTGTGGGGGGTCGGGAGGAGGCTGGTAAGGGATGGGAAGGGGAAACAAAGG